TAAGGAATCCAGTATAGCAAAAGTAACTCGGATTCAGATTTTTGGTCATTAAATAAAATAAAAGTTTTTTTATGCGCTCGGATCGATAGATCCAGGGCGTATATTGTTTTTGTCTTGTCTGTCTGTCTGTTGTAATCTTTAACCTTCGCCATAACTTTTGAACCATAGGAAATCATATTTGGTATGCATACTCCACTAATTAAGTTCATTCAAAGGACATCAAGGCCAATGAATGTGACCTTGACTGTGACTTTTATGCTAAAAATAGCTTTTTCAGACTTTGTTGCAGCCGGGCGCATAGTGTTTCACAAAGACATCTTGTTTTAAAAATTTCATCGATTCTCAAGAGTTTCCTTCATAAAGTTTAAAGTAGAATAACCCTTCCAATATTAAAGCTAAGTTCTTCAAAGGTATCATTGAAATTATTAACCTTACCAACATTGTTAGCTACTTAATATGGTTTCAATATAATACCGAGTAAGTCTAGCATTTCAATCGGAATTCTGATAATAATCTCAATTAATAATTTCCCGAATATTTTTTTTAATTATATTTCTGTGTGAAATGCTATAGCAACATATAAATCATTATATTATACTGAAAACTAAATAAAATGTTAACTTCAAATTTATGTCCAGGCACCTTTTAACCAATCTTTTGAATTATAGTAGGCAGAAAGATACACGTATATGATTTTCACATTGCCTCTGAACGGCATAATAAATGTCTCATCTTTTTACCCTTTTGATCATTTCTTCTTTTTTCTATTTGACCAACTGTCTGGATAGTTGTCGACGGAATTGATATTGATGTAATCCTAGTGATCTGGCTAGGCTACCGCAAAAGTTGAAATATAACAAAACAATGTATATTGAGTGAGAATTGTCATTTATTAGATGACAATAACTATATAACACGAATAAAGTTAAGGGGAGATCACCAGGATATTTCTTGAGTACAAAGAACAATAATTTTGGCAACGGTTTCTCCCCTGTTGCAAACAATCATTTATTTGGCAAAAATATTTTGACAAATAAAAGGTATATAAGCTACAAAGTTGTCAAAACAAAAAGCTGCCACCAAAAGCAATCTGCTATGCAAAGCTGTTCGCAAAACACGAGGCCAAATATTCATTTACATAACCAAGTAAAGTTGTATAATGATCTCCCGTGTTACATGTCAAAATAACAGAAAAAAATTATACAACATATATACATTACAAGCAAAAAGTTGGCGTTCAAAAATAAAAACAGAAGCCCACAAAAAGCAAACCACGTTTGCAATGACACTGTGTCGCAAGCTAAAAAATCGAGGTTATCTGAAGTTCGAGTTTACGAAACCGATACAAGGTCATCATTGTACATTTAATTAAATCATCTTTGCATTAATTGAATAATTCTTTAGTCAGTTATAGTCTCTGGTTTCTAATCACTTTTTACTCGGAATAAATCTTTACAATTGTTTACTAATGCTAATGTACTTTTTCATGTGTCATTAAGAAGGTTACATTATTTAAAAACTGAACTACTTGTCTAGAAAATTAAAGACCTTTGCACAGGCTTTATTAATTCGTGAATATGTGGATCATACACTGTATTAAAAAAGTATCCTAAAGTGCAAATAAATGACTTTTGTTCATTTAGGTTACTTGATAATTGAAAAATAAATCTACTTGTCCAAAATCCACATTATTGCGTAAATATATTTTTTTTAAAAACCAAACAAATACAGACTTTTTCATTGCTTCTATATATCTACAAGACCGACAATCTAAACATGCTAAACGCAGGACAATTTTATCCATTCGTACGATTTTAGGTACAATGAATAACTGTTAGATACAGCAGATACTCTGGAAAATCATCATATAATTAGCTATAGCCACCAATAGCTGAAACTCATATCCAAATGATATGAAAAAGCGTTCTTTATTGTTATTAAAACTTTCGGATATGGGTTAGACGGACTTTTGCATTTCCTTTGTTGGTATGTTAAGCGTTGTTCTTGTATTTTGACAATATTTTTTACAAAACAAAAAATGTGATTTGAGCCCTTTTCTAGACATTGCCTCACTGTGAACTATTGGGGCTGAAATTTGTCATCAGAAGATGCTAGAACTTATTCTTACCATTCGTGTCTAAGATCCAACGAAACAAAGTTACCAAGTGGTTATGACGTATTTAATTTACGTCATTATAATACTATAAGATTATAAAATATACATGTATGTTCCAATATACCTTTGACTACCTTCATTAGATCAATTGCTAGGAATGCAAGTCCCAATAAGATTAATGTGCTATGTTACAACGCACTTTGAAAAATTACGCACTTTAAAAAAAATTTCAAAGTGCATTAAATTTGGGACCAACTCAACGCACTTTGAAAAAAATAAATTTTCTTTTCAAAGTGCGTTAATATCGACCATATTAACGCACTTTGAAAAAAAATGTGTATGGCTTGCTCAATATTCTTGAAAATCTTATATATGATAAATAGTTGAACCTGTTGGATAACTTTTCGGTGATAAGGTCAATTCAGGATGTGAAAGTGAGCGATTACTTTAAAAATTCTTTCTCTCTTATATGTTTTACTGTGTGCCTGAGTACTCATATTTAAGCCTTTGCCCAATCTTTTCAGTATATACTGAATAAATACTGTTTAAATCAAATGTTTTATTGTACTAATTTTTTCCCCCATTTTGCATGCATTTTAATATGTAAACTAATATTTATAAAAAGTTTTCAACGTCATACCAGTTATGCAAAAACATATATTTGGGTGTATCATAGGCATCGGTACCGGGGAAAGGGGGGGGGCTAAGGCACACAAATGTTTAGCAAATATATACATAATACAGGCATTGAAAATGGGGCTTACCTTGAAGGGGGGGGGGGGGCACTTTCAATTTACTACTGACGCCTATGTATAAAAAAAGAGTTGGGTTGAGAGACGTTCTACTCGTCTTGTCCTTGTTCTAGGGTAAATCAATACATGCAAATTTAAAAGTTTTCGAAAGATATTATTATTACAAATTGATTTTCTGAATAACTAAAATCTTACCTTTTAGTTAGAATTTTGTTTCATGCACATTTTTTCAAAGTGCGTTAAATGTTCCCATGGTTAAAATGTTGATGTACACTCTTAACGCACTTTAAATTTTTTTTTTTTCAATGTCCGTTCAGTGTCTCCAATATTTAACGCACTTTGAAATTTTTTTCAAAGTGCATAATTTTTTTCAAAGTCCGTTGCCACAGTGCTACAAAAGTGCATTTTTCAATTTCAAAAATATTATTATATATAAAATCACGACGTCTTTGAACAATATTTATGTTTATTACTACGTTGATTCGATATATTCCTCTTTACTCGAGGTGAAATATAGTTCAGAGGCTGACAAGTCTGTTTCATATTTCGATATTTAGCTAGAAAAAGAAGTTAGTAATTGTCTAACAACAAGACTTTAATTTCCAAAACTTTTGGAGTATTATTTTTGTTCGTTATCTTAATATTTTTTTGTACCTCGATCAAAATTAATATGTTAAAAGAGCAATGATGTATGTCTTTTTTTTTATCATGTAATCGCTTATTTCAGATAAAAATTACATACAATTTACATTGGTTATGTTGGAAAATTGTTAAAATCTGTTCCAATACAAATGTTGAGCTATGAACAACTGCAGAATTATTTATGTCATATAAATTATTTTAGTCCTGTAACCCATGATAAGAGTTTCAATGCATGAATTTGCAAAATACGTGTGTACCATATATACCAAACGCCATGTAATCTGACCTTGAGAAATATCAGGGCTTGGTTTCAATGGTGAAAGAAGCAAAAGAGTGAGCAAAGATAAATATATGTATAAACATACTTAAAATTCTGTATATATACAAAAAATGAGTAAAAGCACAAGAAATATTTTCAAATATTTTCTTAATTTGTGCAGTACAAATTATACATGCGACACTCCCTGGAAATTTTGCATCAAAATGAACTTAGACAATAAAAGTTCTTCTTTTCAACTTTTATTTATTTTGTTTTTTTTAGGTCCACAGTAATAATATTAGACTCATATAATAAGGTGTAATAGCTTTAGATATAGAGACATTTCCCTACTCAATCAAAATGATATCATTATAAGTGCGCATGATGCACCATCATAGATGGTATGAGGTCTGTTTGCCAACATTTGAAACCCACGCACTTATTTGGGGTTGGAATATTTTCTGCCAATCTTCCTCTATAAAAGCCGCATAAGGCGTATTTTTTTCTAATTGTTGTTTCCAATTAAATACTCGGTATATGGAGATGACGAACAGTATTTCGGCGCAATAGCTCTTCAAATATAAAATTGGAACACCAAAACATCAGAGTTGGGATCAAGTACCATCGAGGAGTGAGCATCCCCTGGTCACACGAGCCCTGTGCTTCTTATCATGATCAGGAAATAACGGGAAAATCCGTCGACAATTTGGTCTGTTTATAATGATCAAACATTTAGTAAGGAGAATCAGTGAGAATTTGATTCAATGATAAATTGTATTTGCTGACAAGGTCATTGTATCGGCCATAGAACTTTAGTATGTTTTCTAATGAGAATTAGATAGGCATGCTAGTAAAATTCTTTTCATATATACTTCATATTTCTAATTTCATTGTGAGATAAAGAATAATTTTATCTTTCTATTTAGAAATTTTCTTCACGTAATGATTTGACATACAGTGTATTATTAATTTCTGAAAAAGAAAGAAACACTTCATGCTTTAAACTATTTTCCTTTTGAATCTAATGCTATTGATGTTGATGAAAATCAATGTTTGGAATTAAAAAAAAAATGATTAAATTTGGTGTAGAAGGATATTCACCTTAAATTAAGGCGAATATGCAAATAAACTATTATGAACTGTTGTTGCAAAGGATTTGGTTGTCTTAAACAATTACCTTTTATGTAATTGATGTACACAATATTTAGCATATCGTAAAATTAAAGCATTTTTGATTTTAAAAAATCAATGCCTTCTCTACAGGTAGAAACTTTTGAATTGGTATTGAAAAGAAAAAGTTGATGAATGATTATGTACTAGCATAGCATTATGTAGGCATTCAAAACATCAAAGTCTGTGAATTAATCAAATGTCGAAAGCTTTTATCAAAAAATAATTAATGTATTGAATATCCAATGATAAAGACTGCCATAAAGACCAGTTGTTGCAAAATCGTAAAAATAAGGAAAATCCGAAAAAATAACTCATCGAGGAATATTGTTATCATAGGCCAGGTAACTTCATCAGTCTTTAGTTCAGGATAGGGTGTAACTGGTGTTTTTGACATTCGTACTCTGTCGTTCTTAAAGTTCGACTTCATTTTGTTATCCTCCTCTTCGTTTACGACGGAAACTGTAAGGTCTCGAACTTTACTCTCTGAATGCGCACTTTTAATTCCAGCAATTTTTCCTAAAATTCCATTATATGCTTTCAGAAACTTCGGTGAAACCGGATCGTCTTCATTTCTGTGGTGACATCGTAGAACCATGATGGAAAATCCAACAGAACAAGTTCCAGCAGCCAACGTGATTAATAGGTAGATAGCTGAAATCAATTACATATGTATACGAAAGTAAGGAAAATATTAAGATATATGAACAAATAAAATGAACTTCATATAAGAAAAGTATCGGTCAGTTCAAATGCTTTTCAGATATCCATGCATTTTACCTACGTATTTCTGTTCAAGGTAAAGTTACTTATGACCTAATATTATTTTTGTTAGTCTTGATTTTGTGTTTTATGAAACGATTGCTTTTGATTTTTTTTTCAGTTTCCAGTAACATTAACTATATATATTGTACGCTGGTTGTTAAGTAAAAAAATAACAAGATGCAACCGCAGACATTAGAAGAATGGAAAGGTTTTAAAGAAAATCCCATTTAAATCTTCATAATGTTAACACAAAGAAGGATTCTTGTCTGGTTTCTGGCCAGATGAAACATTAAAGAAGGATAAAGATATAACGAACAGTATTCAATCTCAAAGTCCATAAAACAATACAAAATAGGAGCAGAGCAGACATGGACCTCCGAAACATCAGAGGTGGGATCAGGTGCCATGGAGGAGTGAGCATCCCCTGCCGACCGGTCACACCCGCCGTATGTTCCTTGTCATGATCGGAAAAATTCGTCGTCAATTCAGCGTATAAATAATGGACTAACAATTAGTATGAAAAACGCCAGTCAGGATTTGACTCAACTTTTATTTGCTGACAAGGTCATTGTATCGACCATAGAACTCACGAAATGATGACTTTAAACGAGACTGCTGATATTTTTGTTTCATCAACTTGTTCGTCAATAATTTACCTCGTTTTAGAAATTGTTGATACGTAGGGCATGCTCCTGCGTATCGAATCAAGTGAGATATATATACTCCGTATGCAGGTGATGAAGGTATATTGCTGCAAGTATATTTGCTGATATGTTTTAAAATTTAGATGTAGGAGATTTAAAAGATCCCATTTCTCTGTCCTCATCGTAATTGTACGATATCTTTGAATAGAAATGGTAAACTGATTTAGAAATCTAGCGGGGACTACATTCTTAGCGGAATGGCAGCAAAACATATTTTGCCTCTCAAAATTACCGTAATATAAATCAATGAATTCATTATAGTTTTTTACATGAAGTTTTGAAGAAATTTTAAAATGTACGTAAAATTCATAACAAGGGACTTAAGTTTTAAATGTATCAAATAAATAGGCATTTCCGAACAAGCTTTAAAAAGCTTCTACTTTATTTCCAGATTTAATCTAAAAGTATAGGAAGGATAGAAAATGACTAAAATACATGTATCCAGAAAATTTATGAAAAATACAAAAAATACAGATCAGCCAACATCTATTTTAGTTAAATTATGTTTGTTAATTTGGTGATATCATCTTAAAGACCCTAAAGACCCTGGTACATGTAATATATCATAAAGAGATACACGTTTCATATTTTGAAATAGAAGTAAGCATCACACTTTTGGATTGGTAATTATTTTTTACTCTTAATGTCCAGGAAAAAGCTAATGTCCTTGACCTGACCTTACCTGTAATATAAAACGGCCAAAATTAATCTGATACCATCATCTTAGTGCTATGAAAATTTCGTTTATTATTCTAGAAATATGAGAGGAAACCCTTCTTAAGTTGACCAGATGACTTACATAATGCAGATGTAGTGATCGAAGTCGTGGGTAAGTTTGCAGATACAATGGTTAAATAAACAGCATAGGCTAGCAGAACCGTTAGAGAAAATCCCATTCTCTCCCCGCTGTCTGGTGGTAACTTAAAGGTCAAGACCATAAGAAAGGCAATCAGTACACACGGTAAAATCGTGTTTACTACCTGGAAATGTAAGAAAAAGGTAATTTAATCAAGTATAATGAATAAAATCTCAATGCTTTCATCTACATCTTATGTGGGTGTTTTTGGTGAATAGTATTCAAATACCAAGTACTAGAAATAAACATTTAATTAACCGAATATTTTAAAACTGAATAAGAGAAAATACTATAAAATATTTTATTCATTTGAGGAAATTATGAATATTCTGGTTACACGGAAAGAACAGAAGGCAAAAGCATGTAACATCTTTAGGTCTTTCCACCTTCACTATTTTAATGGTTCAAAGTTTAAAAACTGCATTTATATTCATTAAAGATAGATAAAATTTACAAATTATTGCATAAAATGTATAGGTCGTCATATTATTTAATATGGGAGACATAAATAAACAGAAGTAAATGTCAACAGAAAAAAATTGTACATTTCTTGTAAGCAGTGTTATAAAAAGTATGTATAAACTGTTTAAATGCATAATTCCGGTGCTGAAAGTTTCGAAATACATGTACTTGCTACTTAGAAGATACATTAAAATTTGAAGTATGAATATCAGGGAAACTATATTTCATTATATTATTTTTATCATTTATTCCCAGCTCTCTGATTGGCTCAAACTTGATCACATGATTTAGTATATAACAGCATAAAGACTTGAGTTACTATTTATAGAATCTGAAATGCGTATCGACTTGAGGTTTCTTAAAATGGAGATAATTTCCGTGAAACAAAATAGTACTGTATTCAATCAAAGCTAATACAGTGTATGATTTGATGTTTCTAGAAAAAAAATATTTATTTCAACTTTTACTAACTTTTTTTCTATGTTCTGTATTTGATGAGACAAAAGAAGGCATTGGATTAGGATTACTTCATATTAATTAAAACATATTCGATATGTGTGTCAAATATTGATACAAAACTTAATCAAATAAATGAAGTATTCTGAATAAGTAAATCGTCTAAATCACTCCATCAATATAAAGGAAACGCATTTACATTAAACGGTGTAATTTATTTTGATCTCTAGTCTCTAATTGTTAAAGGGAGAAAACTTTTCCAATTATTTTCATAATTTGTTTTGTCAATCTATGTAAAAAATAATATAACAAATGTAGCCCTTTAATTCGGTCAATCCATAGATATATCGACTTCACAGAAAAGCATATCGACCTCGCACTTCGTGCTCGGTCGATATGCTTTTCTGTGAAGTCGATATATCTATGGATTGACCTCATCAAAGGGCTATATTTATATAAGAAGTTCAATAAAGAAACTACCTAAATGAAGATACAAGAGAAGGAGTTATTGCCCTTGTCAACATTTTTAAAAGAATTAATAATTGACTAAATAAAGAAAATATATATTTATAAAATTCTTTAACTGTACAAAATTTATCATTGTACCTATCGCAAAGCATTCTTTCAAAAGATATTGTTCCAATGGGTAGCAAGTTATATCAAGAGCAGTTTTTTGCAAATACGTACGACATCACAGGGGTGTGAAAAAACATTTATTTCAATGAAAGTCTCATTTTAATAATTTCAAATTTGGTTGGAAATGATACCTGAAAAAGTGGTCTACGTTTGAAGAACATCCTTATTGTAGCAGTAGGAAATGATGATACGCCACGGACGCTTACTCCTGTTTCGATGGAATAGCCTACAACAAAATAAAACGGCAAAATTTTGACCACAAATAAACATTTTGGATGAAATGCATGTCAAAGAAAAAGGTATTTTTTTTTTTTAAATTTTACCTGCAGGTAGATAATTTACAAACTTGCTTAAAATTACTAGTACTGTTTCGTTGAAAGAAATCCATTAACATACTCTTATATTCCCATCCTCCATTTTCATTGTAAAACGTCATATCTAGACCACCATCATACCATTCCAATGCTATTTCATTTACTGAGTATCCCCAAGCTGCAATGACCACGTCGCATTCCTGGGTATCAAAGGGGTAATATGTTGTATCAGACTCGCAGTGTGTGGTATACACGTCTATTGGGTTGTATACGCACAGACCATTATTTACAATCCGAATCAAGTTTAAGGAATTTTCATCCATCATAATTGAAATGGAACTGACTCTGTTGAAATAAACATGAATTGTATAATAAGTGGAAATACTGATTCAAATTAGCAACGGTAATCAAAACTACAAGTTACTAACATTGATCAAATTAAAAAAGAATACAAACAACACGGATTTGTAAATATGACATTGAAAAATGGACCCCAGGAAACTCAAAGGAGGAATCCTGTAGTCTCCTTAAGTATTGAATAAACTTGGAGATGTAATCACCATGCAGATGAAGGTGTTGTCGGAATTTACATAATACTTGTAAAGTATAAGTCATTACTAAACATATAGAAGGAAAGTTTACGACGGAAATTCTGAAGACATCTTGTAATTATTATTTGTCCGCTATCGGTAAAACCCCAAAATTCCAAATATGAAACTGGTATGGAAGTTATTTGATGTTATTTCATTCAAGTTAACTGCGATATATTGATTCGATATTTGAATTTGAGAAATTGGAGTAATTGATATCAATTCGTCAATTTAATTTTTTTCTTCTTTTTCAAGTAGAGTTTGAACATATTCTGCTACATATGTATATAAGTCAGGGCGGCTAATAATGAAGCACTATTGATGTCCATCAGGTAAAAAAACAGTTTGTTGGAGGACCTGGTCTTCAAATACAACATTTGAGTATTGCATGTTTAAAGTACTTTTACACAACACATAAAAGGGGAATATTTGAATTCTTAATTTTATTCATGATAAGGAAAAATATTTTATTAGTTATAATGGGCTTGGGAGTTGTTATCTAAACGAATATTTTATCGTTGTTTTTTTTTTAGCTCTACTGGTCAGTGACCAGAAGAGCTTATGCGATAGTAATGCTTCCAGCGTCTGTCTGTCTGTCTGTCTGTAAACAATTTTTTAACTTCAAAATAACTATTGCCATGGTTGCTAAGGATAGAAATTTCTAGATTCTTTCTTAAATTTTCTACCGGAAATGACAAGATTGTAAATACCAAAGTGAAAGTTGACACCGCCTTTTTGATTTGAAAATTCGAAGCGAAAGTGTATTGTTTTAATGAAGAATGGAGTACTGAATTGGTGTTTTTATCATTTTTGATGATGAAATATAAGTGTTTATTGCAAGTTGACAGAGTCTACTTTTTAAAAATACACACGATTTACTCTTCAATGAGGAGTTACGACGGCCTTTTTAATTTGAAAACGGCAATTTCTTACATGATTATGACCTAAATACTAGTAATACAGGAATAACGATATTCTGAGTCTTCAGCTGCTAATCACACAAAAATCTAGTTATGTAACTATGACGGAGGCTTTAAAAAAATATTAAAGGACAAAAACTTGCAGGTTTTAAGATAGAGATATAAAGAAATAGTATATTTCAAGTTAATACAGTATCTGAATATTAATGAGACATAAATCACGTGATAGCAATCTCATAAATAAATTGCACACCATTTCTTCACATCTTTTAATTCACTTACTATACGTAACGATGACGTTATGATAGAAAATTTTAAAGGTTTGTTTAGGTTCTTTTCATAACTTTGCATCCCTATTAGGGCACATAAATATATCCAGTAAGCCTCATTTTAGCTGAAATCAACACAGATGCTAATTGATTCATCCGATTTACAATGTAAATTTATTTGTGTAGATAAAGTATAAGATATAAGTGAGCGGAACGAAACCATAGTCCAACCTCTATCTTTAAGTATGTTCAGCATTCATATTTCTTAATGCTGACATATTTAAGTCTCAGAGCATAGCCTCAATTATCACATAAATCTCGTCATTCAGAAAATATTGTACATTCCTTCTTGTACTCTCTAATACAATAATATGTTTGCATTTTGTATGAAAGATTGAATATCTGACATTGGTACTTTTTTTATTTGTATTATCTTATCCTCCCAATTTCAAGAAAGCAAGTCTTTTAATGAGTGAGGGCGTGTTTCATGAAAATATGTTAAGAAAAATTTATATACTTAAGTATTAGCGTGTTTTTTTACTCAAATTTATAAGCTACTCACGAGTTCTCCAAAACAAGAGTTGGAAACCACATATAACTCTGAGTGGAAAAGATTGTTGGAATAGAAGAGGCATAAGTAGGATTGGTGTCCCATGCCAATCGAGAATCATTCCACATCTATAACAAAAATGATTACTTTACGCTATATAATATTCAACATAATAAGATATACGTATGCAAATACTCTGAGAGATTCGTCAAACTTACATTATTGTTTGGAAAATAAATAAAAGTTTTTAGTCGTTTTGATCAAAGATTTAGTGGTTGAAATGGAGCTAACGGCACATTGTTTGTGCCATGCCTAGCTAAGTCGTCCTACCATACTAAAAAATCCAGCCATGGACATTGCTTGTTCCACAATTTCCTAAAATAGAAAAATAGCAGTTAAATTTTAACATATCAGGTTTTCCAATACAATTAATAAGAAAGACATTTTCCCAGAGGGGGGAATGAAAGTGTAAGAAATGATTTAAAAAGAAAAGTAGAACTTGTAAATAATTTTAAAGGCTTACCAAGTCGTTCAAAGTTATAGGAAAAAATGACAGTTGGACGGTAACTGTAGGGCTTGGTCGGCTTAGTCTTTGGTAACTGTTTGTTGTCCATAATTCCGTTCTCAGCGCATTTTCCAATGCAAAAGTATAGCCATTTGCTAAATCACATCCTATCAATAAAGAAAATATAACGTTTGTGGTATTATTGTATGATTGTTAGACTTTCTGTTTAGAATAATTACATATTTAAAAAATTCTCTCTTAAAGAATTTCATAAAATTTTCATATTTTTGGACGTTAACAATCTTTTCTTTCTACAGAATCTTCAAATAAGTCCTTTGGTGATTTGAAATTTCCTCTGTTTAGTGTCCCCATATCTTTCAAAATCTTACCTACCTATTCACAAAGAAACAGACAAGCTAAAATTAAAATACACGCTTTTAAATAAAAAAAAAATACGTCATTCAAATGTAAATCGGTTTCTCTAAACCGTTTTGCTATAGATATATGATAATTTGCTTTATTGATACCTTTTATGACAGATTTAAGAAAAATTCTGACATCTAGAAATTTACAGAATTCAGGTTTGACTCAAATAATCAATCATATAATGAGTAAAAGGGTGGTTGAAGGGCATCTGGGGTGTCAAAAACCAGTGCGCTAAACATAAAAAAAATCACTCTGAGGACACCGTTTCTTAAAACAAGAAGCTTAAGGGTTTAAATATTTTTTTTTCAATGGAGTGTTTTATTTCGACGATGGACTGGAGGACCAACCGTCACATGAATCTAGATGACCTAATCATTAAAACAATTTCAATGAATAATTAAATTAGCTTATCTCTTGATCCTTATTTTTCCCCTGTTTGCATTAAAGAGCACGATTTTCAAAAACTTGGCAAAGCAGATACTGCTTTTTAAAACTGTGTCCAATAACATATCAATAATCCATCTACTACGTTTGTACTGGGCTATTTAGAAGATTGGCCTAACTTAAAGGATGCCGCCAAATGACCAAATATCACTTTTTATTCCAGATCCTAAGATAAGAAAATATGACATTGTATAAACTTGTTTCAACAGATTATGACAAAGGTTTTTAAAATATACAAAAAATCACAACCAGATGATAAACAACGTTCACAACCGTGTAATACACATTTCCAAGTGCTATTCAGGTGTGGTTTCTAAATTCAACCTTACATTTCTTTTCTTATTGTAAATTATTTTTCTGCCTACTTGCAAATTTACAATTTACAAAATACGTAGCGATATTTATTCACAGAAATAGAGCAATAAAATGCCATGATTTAATCAAGACTACGAAAAGTGAAGCTACTGGCATATATTAGACTTAAATTCGGATTTCATTTTATTTAATGTGCATCAGAAAAGTTTTGTAATACACTTATGAAACAGATACATTACATCTTTAAACAGTAGGTCAAGGATAGAAAGAAATAAGAATTTCCAAAAGGGAAAAGCAAATTATTGACTTTAAGTTTACCTACCAGATAATAAAAGAACGAGCAGAAAAGCCACCAAACTGTATCGCATCTTCGTTTTCGTTTCTTTTATGTCTTAGTATATATTTCCCGTTGTACATGTATAAATGAATTAAATTATTTAGAAACAATTTCGAAATTCAATAAACCCCTAATATTCGTGTCGCACGATTTCTTTAAATCCTCACTCACGACACCCTTAAAAGGATAACTTGGGATTAAATATAAAAAAGCGTATTATTAATCTAATCGCCCTAATTAACATTTGGAAAGTTTTAAAAAGGATCAAATATTTCCCGTGATCAGGGCATGCCCATTTGTCGCTAGTGATGGGATATTGATTTTTCAACTTCCAGTAAATGGAAAACGTTTCGAGTAGACTGCTACTTTACTGCTGTCAATTAGTTAATGTCCCTTCTAAACCCTTTTAACACAAGTTAAATGCCATTAAATTTTAAAGTTGATAAAACTGGACACTAAAAGAACTGAAAAATATACAAATGAAAACATGTAAATATTGAAGTTTTGGTTATTGAGGTCTGAATGGAGCAAATGGATTGATCGCAAAACACCAAGAGCAGTGTCTGAAATAATAGGATGGAAAATTCACATTAACTTCAAATATCCAAATGAAAGTTCAAAAATAAAATACAACAATAAATTCTTGAGATCTTGCACTTAGTAAGTCGAGGTATCTGGAACATTTGATAAATAAGACATTTTTAAACAGTAATAATAAAATTGAAAGATATATGGGGATAACGAACAGTATTCAAGATCAAAAGTCCATAGAACAATAAATAGGAGTAGAGCAAACACAGACCTCCAAAACATCAGAGGTGGAATAAGGTGCCATGGAGGAGTGAACATCCCCTGCTGACCGGTCACACCCGCCGTGTGCTCCTTGTCATGATCTGGAAATAATGGGAAAATCCGTCGTCAATGCAGCGTTTAAATAATGGACTAAAAATTAGTATGAAAAACGTCAGTCAGCGATTGACTCAATGATAAATTGTATTTGGTGACAAGGTCGTTGAATCGACCAGAAAACAAACGAAATGATGACTTAAACGATATATTCTTGTTTCATCAAATTGTTTGCTAATAATTTACCTCGTTTTAGAAATTGCTCATATCGAATCAAATGATATATAGTATACAAAATCCATATGCAGGTGAAGAAGGTATATTGCTGCATAAGTCAGGGAAGTTGACGATAGAAAAGATAAAGTCATCACGTTTATCATAGAGCTTGGGAAAGAGAAACTCTACATAGGAAAAAAATTCTTCTGACTGACAAGGTGGAAGAGCATACATGTAGATATATAATTATGCAGTTATTATTAAAAATATTTTTAAAATGTGTTCTCCAACAATATCAATGCAGGGAACTTCATTAAAGATATTTAAATCAAACAAATGTAAAACTGAAGGCTTGGTATCCTCACTGAACAATAATTTAGACAAATGATATCATCAATATGTTGAAAAATGGTTTTCATATGCAGCATTTATTAGTTTTCCGTTTTAAGGTCCGAATTACTGATATTTCTCTTCAATATCAGACCGGACGGCAGGGGATGCATACTTATTCATGACACCTGATCCCATCTATGATATTTTGGAGGTCTTTAATTGCACTGCTTCAGATTTCTTACGTTTTCAGGACTTCTGAGGTTGAATTCCGTTCGTTTTTGCAATGTATGTCATCTAGAAGAAGCAGAGGAAAAGTTCATCAAAGGAAACAACAAAATAAAAAGTTTATCATTTTAAGGAAAATTTCGAAATATGTATCATTGATAAAATAAAAATGAAAGTAACGATTGATTGATTGATTGTATACTGTTAAACGTCCCTCTCCAGAATATTTCACTGATATGGAGACGTCACCATTGCCGGTGAAGGGCTGCAAATTTAGGCCTATGCTCGGCACTCAGGGCCATTTAGGAGGGAGGGATCTTTATCTTGCCACACCTGCTGACGGGGCCTCGGTTTAAACGGTCTCATCCGAAGGACCGCCCCATTTAGTCGCCTTTTACGACAAGCAAGGGGGTACTGAGGACCTATTCTAACCCGGATCCCCACGGGGCTGAAAGTAACAAACGATTAAGATTTAAACATTTTATTACTACAGCATACATCTCTCATTCTAAACATGTAATACAGTAAATACTGTTCATTCTTTTAAATGGTTATATGCTGTTCAAAGGGATATCCCTCTTGCTACGTATTGGCTTTGTAAGATGCGCATTGACCTCTGTTTTCATTGCGATTCTTCATTACGCCTTTTGAGTTAAGAAATGAATGTAATATTTTTTTCTTTGATCGATGTATCAAAGAAAAATTTTGAAAACTTCATCAATGCGCGTAGCGCATTGATATCCAAATTTTTCTTTGATACATCGATCAAAGAAAAAAATATTACATTCATTTCTTATCATTTAATTATGATTTTAAATTAATAAAATGAAAGTTTCTTTCACTTTTCTATTAAATTTATGCATTAAATACAGTGCGCAGGAATACATCACCATATAACGTTAACGTTGCTGAAAATTCAAAATGGCTCTCACCAGTAACGAAAAATATTGTCGTGTGATTACCCACAGTCTCCAAAATATTTTAAAGTTCTTAAACACAAAAAACTTACCTGTTGTGCTATCCCTCTTGTTATATTTTCCCCGGTAAGTTGTCTAAAATCGTAAATGTAAAGGGAAGCTACTCAAATATCCTAACAGTTCTAGATCACAGAAATTTTGGATTTCATTTGCGCATCTTTTCATTTGAATTTGAATTTCAAATCGAATATATAAATACGTATCACAACCTGTCAGTGATGTAAAAGCTGAAAGAGTCTGCTGCCGATAGTTCAAGATTAAAGAATTCCATCCTCAATTCATGCAGTGTCTTTTTTCTCGATCGCTCGTTTCCCACCTATATAGCAACAGATTTACGGTTTTCCCCGCTTTGCTAGCATAATAAAACATTTTTTCAGAGTTCTATTGTTTCATACCAGATATCTCAAACTCAAACATTTTAGAAAAGTATGCCGATTAAACGATTTCTTCCCTTCTTTTCCGTAACTGTTTTTTCGTCATGCAGACGATTTTAGTTTGTTTAGCAAAGGGGGATAATTCAAAATGAAACGAAAGTAGAAAGTAAGTTAGGAACCTAACGGACAGGTTCCGAAATTCAGAAAAATATTTATTAAAGCAAAGGTATTTAATTATTCCTTCAAAAAGTAACCTGGAAGCGGGGAATATACATGTACCGACTGTCAAAGTAGTTCCGACTGCTTAGTGCAACCGAACTCTAGATTTTATTGATGCAGTAATCAAAAGAATTTTTTATCCAATCAGAATCAAGTATTTTAAAGAAATTAAATGATTAAAAAATCAACTTAAAAAAAAAAATAAAAAGTATGTCAAACCTCATTCAATATTGACATACTATACTTTTCATCATTTTTATAAATAAATTTGTAAAGAACAAGATCGTGAAACAGGAGTATATTAACGTTTAAAAACCGACAAAGAAAAAATTGAAATATTGTAGGAACTATTACTTCAAATCAACAAAATTTAGAAAGAACAAAAAACGTGAAATATTTTAAATTCAGAAGAAACGTTCGTAAACGATAAAGAAAGATTTAAAACTACCTTGAAGAACTTTTTTTTTCATTTTTCGTCAGTTAAATTTGTGAAG